CTCGTTGATTGGGGAACAGCTAAGCCACTTATGTTACATTAATGGTATAATAGCATGCTATAAGAAATGATGTGTGTGTTGAATACAGAGAAGCTTTGGAAGATCTACATGAACTGCTGCAGAGTGAAATAAGAAGAGACATTTCCTGTCTTCTCCCCACATCCAGCCTCCCCTTCGTGTCTCAGGTCTGCACCATCCTCCCTCTCCCTTGTCAGAATCCTGGTGTAGACCCCCCTCCGTGAGCTCCTGCCCAGACTCAGGCCAGAGTCCCCTCTCCTGCCTTCTTCCTCATGGGCCCATCTCCTGAATCCATCGTGGATACAGCAGCAAGAACCTTGTCTGGTTCCCTCAGCCCCTAGTCTGTGACACGGGTCTGCCCTCTCCAAAGGTCCTCATGCCCTGCATTTGAACTGTTGTCCCCTTCAGGCTGGCCAACCTACTGCATGCTCCTCCCTTCCTGGATCACCCTCAGTCCTACCAGCCTCTTACCTTTTCCAGGAAGCTTCCCAGATGGACCCCATGCCCAGCTCCTTCCAGGAACATCCCTCCATTCTCCCCCACCCCCAGTCTGCTCTGAGGAGTAGGCTTTGTTTGCATAGGAGCAGCAAAAGTCCACCATGAGGCTGGGAAATCCTGAGGCCAGGACTTATGTCTCAATGTCTCTGGCTTCTTCTCCTTCCCCAATGACCAGGACAGGCCTCTGCTCACAGGAAGCACCACTCAGACCACGGTGGTGACTGAGAGTGGAGGGGCAGACATGCCAGGCTGAGGGACGGTTTGTCCTTCACCTTCCCCTGGATCCTCCTCCTGCATTTATGTCTGCTGCCACATGACTGAGTCATAACCAGCCTGCAGAGTCCAGAGATGGTCAGGGAGGCAGCTCTGGCTGTCTTTTGAGTTAGACTCAAGAGAGATCCCCAAGGGTGTTCTGTGGCACCCACTGATGAGGATTTGGGGGAAAGGGAGGCCTCCCTGTGCTCTCTGCTGCTAGGACCACCACATAGAGTCAACCTCAATGCTCCCATTGCAGGGGGCTGTGGCCAGTGAACCTGGAAACCTGGGTCCTACAGTACCCTGAATGGACACATCTTGTGTCCTGGTATCTGCAAGGTGGAAACAGATATTGGGCTGGGACCAGGTGCTCCACCAGGAAGGAGCAGCTCATGAGGGACCTGAAAGGAACCTGGGAGGACAGGAGTCCAGGCCAGGGTGATGATATCAATTAATCAATAAGCAGTTAAGGCCCTACTATGTACCAGACACCATTACCTCCTGCTCCCTCCTACCTCCTGGCCTATTAAACAATCATATAAAGGAATGCTCTAAATCATTAATAATAAGAGAAATTCAAATCAAAACAACCCCCTGGTTCTACCTCATACCCTACAAATCGGCAAAGAAGACAAAAAAAAATGGGAATAGTCAATACTGGAAGTGTTGTGGGACAACAGGCACACTAGTGCATTGTTGGAGGAGCTGAAAACCAGTACATCTATTTTGAAAAACAATTTGGGGCTATGCAAATGAAGTGACTTAAAAGTTCACACCCTTTGACCTAGTGATTCTATTACTAGGCTTATAATAACTCCAAGGAAGCCAAAGAATTGGAAACCCGGTAGATGTCCATCAGTTAAGGCATGTCTAAATAACCCGCAGTCCATGAACGTGGAGTATTACCGTGCTCTGAGGAATGAAGACTATGATGAATACAGAGATGCATGGAATGACTGAACTAAACTGATGCAGAGGGAAGTCGGCAGAGCCAAGGAATCAACAAACACTAAGCACAGGAAAGGACTTGGGGAAAACCGGCACAAAAAACTGAAAGCGAGTGTTGAAGATCGTCCCACCTGACCCTTTCTCGCTGGGTCACAGGGACGTTCCAGATAGTGACGTTTTTTAGGTAGAGTCCCAGATTGGTTTCTGGAACATTGGGATGGGTTCACGGTGTCACCGGCAGGGCCCCCACCAGCCCGTCTGCCCACTGCCCCTCTACCATGTGCTCTCTTCTCATCCTCCGCAACTTGAAGAGCGTGAAGTAAACTTCGGAGTTAACGTGTCTGGACGGAAAGACTGGGTAACCACTTGTCAGGTATAACAGAAAGGAGGGTTTTTTCAAGGTCCAATTAGGCCAAAAGTCCTGTGGTGTCCCTTGCGACTCAGTCTGTGAGAGGCGTTTGTAAATCTCACTGCACCGTAGAATGGTGAGTGTGCATTATTAACAGGTAAAGCAGCACCTCTGAGTTGTTCTCATCTGTATTCCTCTGATGACCAAAGAATCTGACCATGCTTTTCAGGTACTTGCTTTTTTCGAGGGTTTCTCAGTCATATTCCTTGGACACATCTGTCCTCTCTCTTATCTGTCTGGCAGCAGATCTGACAGGCAGAAATTGTGTTTCACATCCCTATGTAATTTGTGTGTCGCATTTTTATCAGATCTGGACAGAAGGAGCAGCTGCCCTGAGAATCCTCTGTAGACCCCTAAACCAACAACTCAGGCAAGGCCTTGAAACCTATGCCGCTGTGACAGGGACAACATGCCCAGGGTTTTCTGGGAGCCTCCAGCTAAGAGATGTTCCTACCACCCCTCCTTCAGTGTTAGGAATTGGGGGTCAATCTCAGGCAGGAAGCTGGTGGAGGAGGGAGAAGTAGAGAAATCACCAGCTCCTCCATCCATTAGGAAATGGGATTTGCAGGCATGCTACAGTAGTTCAAAAAATTACAGGGCAGGACACCAGAGAGGGCTTGAAGAAGTCAGGCATATATTTAAAAGGTGCTAAAGATGTAGTCTGCATTCTCTGCCTTAGCTAGAGTCTTCATCCAAGGGGAACAAAGGGACAGTGTTTGCAGTCCTACACAGGGACTAAGAAGTACAGGTTTCTCCACATTATGAATTCCAGGATGGGCAGGGAGCTTTACTCTCCACGTAGAACCTGCTCCCTAGTCAATTCAACTCAATAAACATTTATTATCCACCAGCTGAGTACACAGAACTATGCCTGGTGTTGGGGGAGGCACGGAGATTACACTCAATGGGAGAACATGTAGATAAATAAAAGTAACCTGGAGGCGAGGGAGGTACTGGCTGCTGGCCGGATCAGGGAAAGTCCCCTGGAAGAGGTTTCCCTTGAACCGAAGGGATTGGAAGAGGTGGAGGTGAGGGAGATGTCCATTCCAGGCATGAGGGAAAGCCATGGTAAAGGCCCAGAGATGGAGGATGGAGGGTCCTGCCTGAGGCACGGTCCGTGTCAATGTGGAGTTTGAATTCCATCCTCAGGGCAACAGGAAGCCCCACTGTAGGTTCTTGACCTGAGGAGGTATATGGTCAGATGCAGGCTTAAGGAATATCACTCCGGTGGCTGAGGATGAATTGGAGAAGGAAGAGTCTCATGGAGGCGGGGAGATGAGTTAGGAGGCCACTACAATAGTCTGGGTGAAAAGCGAAAAAAAAAGCCTCTATTAGGGCATGAGTGGTGAGATGGGAGAGATGCCGTGGAGGGCAAGCAGATTGTGTTTGGCAACATACAGAACATGTGGAGTAAGGGGAAATGAGGAGCTGAGGATGACTCAGAGTGTGAGAATTGAGGGGACTGGAAGGATCTGGGTGCCCTCGGGAGAAATAGGGAAGACAGGAAGATGAGTCGATTTGGAAAGAATGAGTTCCCAGAAACGACTGTCAAAATAAGAAGTAACAAATTAAATATAAAAAAGCATTTGATGAAGGTTTTCATGGAACAGTTTTCTATGGGATCAGAAGAACAGTTTTATCTCAGAATGGCAACATATGATGTGAAAAAAAAAAAGCATGTATTTTAGATGATAAAGTGAGCAGCATTAATCCTGTGAAAAGAATTTGGATCATGGATTTATTCTCTGGAATTACTGAAACTTTACCCGTTATAGTAATATTCACAAGTGTAGTGGACATACCTAAACTAGTATTGATTTTCTGTTTGGTCCCTAGCATCTTTGGTCCCCATAATTACAATTCTGAAGGGACACAAAGATCTTTAGTGCCATAATGAAGATATTCTATCCTTCCTTCAACCCCCCTCCCCTCAAAAGAAGACAAAAATAAAGAGGCCAAACATAAAGTCAAAGATGGAGCTAAAAAAAGGCTAATTCTCGGCATGAACCAGTGGCTCCAGCTCAAATTTGCCCTCTCCTTTCCTTGGACAGGCTCTGGGCTTCTGCTGTCCTTGACAGGTTTTTCTTTTTCTTTTTTTAAATACCTTAGTTACCTTAAGAGGGCTTAATGAGATTCCCAACCAAGAGAGAGTAAAGGAGAAAACAGAGGGCCCCAGGCAGGCTCTTAAAGAACCCCCAATAGAAGGGGCTAGGAATGGGGAAAAGACCCCAGCAAAGAGAAAGGAGGAGAACTCAGTGTGAGGTCTCCGAGAAGAGGGAAGAGAGGGCATAGAAGGAAAGGTGCTCAAGAGTCAAATACCTCATAGAATATTAATACCTAAAGCAAGGTAAGGACCGATATGGTTTTCAATCTGGTAATTGGGAGGTCCTTGATGACCTTCAAGAGAGATGCTTCAGTAGAACAGCTGGAATAGAAACTAGAGATAGAGGGTCAAAGATAGCTTTGACATTTTTAAAAAAAAATACTGGTGAGATCTGAACATGAACATGTATGAACTGGGTCTAAACTTCCTAAAACTCAGTTTCTCTATAAAATGAGGCTCAGCTCATGGCCTCTGAGACTCTTCTCTCTCTGGATCTAAAGATTCCATGATCCTATATTTTTAGGACCATTGGTGAGGAGTAGAGAACAACTGATTGAAAAAGAACAAGAGAGTGGAAAGCATTTGCTGCTTTTCTTGGTTACATCCCCAGCATTTAGCTTGGTGCCTGACACACAGTAAGTACTTATGTAAGCACTTGACTAAGGTCCTGAAATAGAATAAGATTGGATGCAGTATGGAGGCAGTGAATTTAGGGTTATAATTTATCACATAAGAGAGATAAGGAGGCTGTGAGACTGAGATGCTTTCCAACTCTTAACTTTGTTGATTCTGTGATTCTATGATTTTGTGAATCATCTGGTGAACAGCAAATTTTGTACTCTGACTGAAGACCTCCCCACAGTCATTACATTCATAAGATTTTTCCCCAGTATGAATTCTCTGATGAAGACTAAGTTTTGACTTCTGACTGAAGGCTTTCCCACACTTATTACATTCATAAGGTTTCTCACCAGTGTGAATTCTCTGATGTTCAATAAGTCCAGGTCTCTGTCTGAAGGCCTTCCCACATTCATTACATTCATATGGTTTTTCTCCAGTATGAATTCTCTCGTGTAGAATAAGTTCTGAGCTCCGTCTGAAGGCCTTTCCACATGCATTGCATTCATAAGGTTTCTCTCCAGTATGAATTCTCTGATGAACAATAAGTTGTGAGCTCTGACGGAAGGTCTTCCCACAGTCATTACATTTATAGGGTTTCTCTCCAGTATGAATTCTCTGATGTACTATAAGACCTGTGCTCACACTGAAGGCCTTCCCACAGTCATTACATTTATAAGGTTTCTCCCCAGTATGAATTCTCTGATGCTGAGTAAGTTGTGAACGCCAACTAAAAGCCTTCCCACATTCACTGCATTCATAAGTTTTTTCTCCAGTATGAATTTTCTGATGTACAATAAGTTTGAACCTCTGGCTGAAGGCCTTTCCACATTCATTACATTCATAAGGTTTCTCTCCAGTATGAATTCTCTGATGCTGAGTAAGTTGTGATCTCTGAATAAAGGCCTTCCCACAGTTAATACATTCATAAGGTTTCTCTCCAGTATGAATTCGCTGATGTCGAGTACGTTGTGAGCTCTGGCTGAAAGCCTTCCCACATTCATTACATTTATAGGGTCTCTCTCCAGTATGAGTAGTCTGATGTCTAATAAGTCCTGTGCCCCATCTGAAGGCCTTCCCACATTCTTTACATTCATGAGGTTTCTCTCCAGTGTGAATTCTCTGATGTACAACAAGGTATGACCTCTGGCTGAAGGCTTTCCTACATTCATTACATTTGTAAGGTTTCTCTCCAGTGTATATTCTATGATGTGCAATAAGTTGTGAGTCTTTCAGCAAAGCCTTTCCATATTCATGACATTTATGGGGTTTCTCTCCAGTATGAATTCTGTGAGGGAAAGTAATGATCTATGATTAAAGTTTTCCCACATTCATTGCTTTTCTAAGTTTTCTCTTAAATACATATTCTATGACAATTGAGAGGTTATGAATTATAACATCATAAGTTTGTAATTATAAACTTAATTATAATTAAATTCTTTCTCTGGGTATTACATATATGGAGAGCTCTTTCCTACAGACACTCTCCAATAAAGAAAAAAGGATTGGCCCTAGCCTAAAAATCAAGTCATATTTACTTCTTTCATGGCCTCTCACTGTATTGGTAGTTTTCCTTAGGGGGATTTTTACTTGCCTATATTGTATCTCATTACATTGCTTCCTTTTTAACCTGGTATCAGGTTCTGAAGCTGTTCCCCACTTGGAGACACTGGAATACTCCCTTGTGAGCTGTTCAGGAGAAGATTCTTCCATAGAAGTGCCAAGCTTTGGAGCTGACTTCTTGGGTTCAATCATTGCTTCCCAATCTGGAAATTAAAAAAAAAAAATTATACATGGTTTTCCCCGCTGGAACAAAGTTACGTGCCACGTATTTGGTACTATCTTCTGTCTCCCACCTCTGGAAACATGATTGCCAAAGGTTACGGGGTAGAACAAAAAAGATAATGCCATATGTTTACAAAGCCATTTGTAGTATTTTTCATACAGTTGTCTGTGATCTGCAGTTTTTCTGAAAACTGTTTGTACATATCCTTTGTTCATTAATCTATTGGGTAATGGCTCTTAGTTCTGACATATTTCTGCCGGTTCCCAATATAAATTGGACACTAGATACTATAGTTTAATTAGAGATCACAAATGTTTGATGCAAAGACTTTCCTCTATTTAATGCTTCTTTTTTTTTTCAGTGAGGCAATTGGGGTTAAGTGACTTGCCCAAGGTCACACAGGTAGTATGTGTCAAGTGTTTGGTCTGAGGCCAGATTTGAACTCAGGTCCTCCTGACTTCAGGGCTGGTGCTCTATCCACTGCGCCACCTAGCTGCCCCTAATTCTTCTCTTCTTAATCTGGCTACATTGATTTTGTCCATACAATAGATTAATAATGAAAATTATCTACTTTTTTCCATTTTTCATTTATATGGCATGATGAATACAGAGAAGCCTGGAAAGCTCTCCATGAGCTGATGCAGAGGGAAGTCCGCAGAGCCCAGAAAACAATCAACACGAGAGTTTATTAAGGTCTCCTAGTGTCAGGCTAGGGCGATGGGCTAGAGATACAAAGAAAGACAAAAAGACGGTCCCCGCTTTCATGGAGTGAGTGCAAAATCTAGTGGGGGATTCAACATGCAAATACCTATGTACAGACAAGTCACTGGCAGGGCAAATTGGGGATAATCATGAGAAAGAAGGTTCCAGCATTAAGGGGGATCAGGAAGGCTTGCAAAGCTTACATAAGGTGGGATTTTAGCTGGGTTAGAACCTAAGAACCACACCCACCTACCTTTCTTAACTTTACCAATTTGCTGCTCACTTACCTGGCCTTACCAACTACCTTCTCTCTTTATCCCAGAGTACACTTCCTCCTTGGGTTCTTTTCCTCCTTCAGATTGGATCTCCTTTGTCCTCCTCTAGTTCAAATCCACCTCCTTCAGGTTCTCCCAAATTTGTGCTTCCCCAGTTCAGTCCCTGGCCTTCCACACAACTCCCAAGCCTCCCAGGTCATCTTCCCAATTCCCTGCTCTTTATTCAGCCTCACATCCATTCCCTTCTCTAAAGCAACCCAGCCACACAGACCGAGAGCCACATAAATGGTCACAGCCTGATGTGATGATCCCATGGCTGGGACTGTCCCCTAAGGAAGTGACTGAAAGGAAATGAAAACCCCAGTCTACAAACATAGTTCTAATGGCTGGATGAGAAAGGTAAAAGGTCTGTAGAGGACTCAAGTGTTGATGAGAGGCCTGTGGCTACCCAAGGCCTGGCATCTTGTGCATTACTGACTCCACAGGCTTGTCACTGAAAAGCACAGACACGAGGAGGATGGACGCTAGTCATGGGGATGGGAAGAAAGCAGGATCAGAGTACATACAAAGACTGTAACTGGGGAGAATAGCACAGCCACAAAACCTCAACACCCAGAAGAAAAGGGCAGAGACACCCAAAGGGCCTACTGGTGATTACAGTTTAAGGAATATACCAATGTGAAGAGAGAATGAACTGAGGAAGGGGAGGCCAGGGAATGGGCTGCCCAGTGTCCAAGGAGGGGCGTGTCAGAAGATGATGTCCCGCAGGAAAGAGGAGGCTGTGGGAAGGAGCTCAGGCCTGGAAGCTCCCGGGAGAGCCGCCTGGCCACTCGTTTAGAAGGGCTCCCCCCACAAGTGACCGGCTGTCGGTCGCCATGACTCACCTGCACAGCTGCTCTGGGGGGCATCTCCCTCTGGCATCCAAGGGGCCTCCCCGCTCTCCAGCTGGCAGATCACGTCTGGCTTGGAAACGGCCAGGCCTGTTCATGGAAAAGATCTGCTGTCAGAGAATCCCCCACAGAGCTCAATCCCGGTCCCTTCCCCCGCTCTGGGAACGCCCGCAGGACCACTGAAGGATGCTCTGGATCTTGTACTGGAAGCAGGGAGGAACGGGGCCAGCAGGGGAGCTGGGCTCAGAAAGACACGAGGTCATCTGACCCAATCCCGGCTAAGAGGACGGAGACTGTGGATGTATTCAAGGTATCCGGGACAAGAAGGGAGGACTAAGGGTGGGGCAGCCTCAGGGACAACACAATGCAGCAGCCAGCTTGCAGGGGTTCAAAGACCCTTCACCCGGTGACAGGGAAGTAAGGTGACCCCATACCCTCTATGCCCCAGAGGGACTGGGAATCTCTGCTCTCTGGATGCCAGACAAGAGCAAACACTCAAGAAATCCCATAGCACTTCCTAAGAGGAAAGAAAGACCCCCGCCATGGGGCAGCCCGTGGTCCTCACCCAGGCAGGTGAGGTTCCTGTAGTTCTCCAGCATCACCTCCTGGTACAGCTCCTTCTGAGAAGGGGTGAGCTGCCCCCACTCCTCCCGGGTGAAGTCCACGGCCACGTCCTTGAAGGTCACTGTTTCCTGAAACCACATATACATGTGCTTACCCTGGGACCACCCCTCAGATGAATTTCAGGAGGTGAAGGAGGTGGAAATTGTATGGGGTACTTCTTGCGGTGTTGGGGATCCAGGGTATTCCAAGTTAGACGTTTACTGAGTGCAAATTGTATTAGATTCTGAATGATGCAACAAAGGGAGAATTTTAACGTCACAGAATTGTGCTGAAGTCTTTGCTTCAGTGCCTTGCCTCTCCATTCTGGAGCTTGTTCATAGACAGTTTTTTGCACGTTGCCTTCCCTTAGACTGTGAGCTCCTTAGGAATAGGGACAGTTTCCTGCCCTTCTCTGTATTCCTGGTGCTTAGCGCCGTGACTGGCATGTTGCAGGTGCTTAACAAATGCTTGTTCACTGACTGGTTAACAGATTACTTATGTCACAAGAGCTCTTCGAGACAGGAGCTACAAGCACCATCACCCCTGTTTTATAGATGAGAAAATGAATCCAAGAGTCACAGATTCTCAGAACTGAAAGCAATTTAAGGCACCTGGGATATGTCATGGAGGCTTCTCTCTGCTAAATGCACGTTAGCAATCCTTTGATCCTGATATGGCGCTTCACCATTTCGATCACCCATCTCTGCATGCTGTCCAACTTCTCCACATCCTCCCTGAAATCCAGCACTCAGAACTTAACGCAGTAAATATTCCTGATGTGGTCTGATGAGAGCAAGGCCAAGCAGGATCACTGCCCTCTGGGGCTAGACACCAGGCCTCTCTCTGAATGGCTGCCACGTCATACCTTTGACTCCTCTTGAGTGTGTGATCTACTAAGCCCTCAACATCTTTTTTTAGATGACCATTTATCCTTGGGTACCTACCTCCCCATCTCTACTTACAGACTCTTTTTTTTTTAATCCCAAGTGTTACCCTTCATACTTATCTTGTTGGATTAGGACTAATGTGCAGGATAATATAAGATTTTCATCAGCATAAACCACCCTCAAATGATTTTCCCAGAAATGTTGCCTAGTCATATTTTCTTCTCCTGTACTGAACAATTGATTTTAAAACCCAAGGGTAAGGGGCAGCTAGGTGGTGCAGTGGATACAGCACCAGCCCTGAAGTCAGGAGCACCTGAGTTCAAATCTGGCCTCAGACCAAACACTTGACACTTACTAGCTGTGTGACCCTGGGCAAGTCACTTAACCCCAATTGCCTTTAAAAAAAAAAAACAAAACCCAAGGGTAGAACTTAAATCTTAGTAAGTGTGACCCATCCTTGGGTCCCACCCCATCATCCAAGCTTTACATCATCTGCGAAGTGAGCAAGCACGCCATCTAAAACAATAACGCCCAATGAGAGATGGCACCACATTCATTCTCCTCTGAGGATGCCAGGTGACACACACACACTCTCTCACCACTTGTGCTCTAGTTGTACAACTTTAACTAACTGAAAGATGTTTGCTAAGGCATCTCCAATACAGCCTGCTCCCCCTTAATCAAAAACACTCAATTTCTACAAACATATCCTACAAACATATTCTACAAACATATTCTACAAACAATTTCTACAAGCCAGACAACAGCAAAGTACAGAACGAATTCATCACCCAAAGGTATTTTTTACCCACAGGTTTTGGCTGTGTGCTTCTGTTGACAGTTTAATCTCAGAACCTCGGTGTTAGAAGGATCCTGAGCCCCTCAGGTGCACAGTCAGTCTTGAAGGCTTGCAAAGTATTGGTGCAGACATAATCTCCTTCATCACAATGTCACAAGGCAAGTACTAGTGATACTACCTTCCCCATTTTGTGAAGGAGTAAACTCGGGCTCAGAAAAGCTACGCAACTTGCCCATGCGCACAGCAGAGGTAGGACTCGAGTCCTGCCAGGCCTATCCTCTCACCAGCCACTCTGCCGGTGCACTCAGACCAGAGGCTTTCGGCTCCCGGGCTGAGGCCTGATGGCAACCATAGCCTGCTCTTTCTAGGAGGCTCCAGCCTTCTTAACAGCAGCCCTCTCCTGCGTGTGCCCTTCACGACTCAGAGACCCAGAAGTCCTGTTCTGGAACTATAGTCAGAGTACTGTAATTGTTCCTGGAAGGAGAATCGATCTAGTCCCCATTTCTCCCCCCAACACCGCCACACCAGTAACTTTCCAAGCCTGGCTGTGTTCGTCTGCTGAGATGGTTTACCAGAGTGTGACTGCTGCCCACACTACGGTTTCTTGGAGACACAGGTCAGAGTTGGATGAATAAAGTGGACACCAAAGGTGGGTGAGCAACCCTGAAAAGGGCTCAGCAAGCCCTCACTACAGAGGTGCCAGTCCTCCCCGAACACCCCATACAGCCCTCAACCCATCGGTGAGTTGGGGATGTCCAAGCATGTGAAGAATGCCAGATCCCTGGCAGAATGAGCGGATGAGAACAATTCGCTCTAATGGCCATGAAGGTGGCTGAAGCAGGTGCTGTGGGGCACTTAGAGCTTGGTCAGACATCCAAGACACCAAGGCCAAGCACTGCTTCCCGGGCCATTGCCAGTTGTCTCGACGTTTGTCCTGCCACTGGACTTTGGTGACTCAGACAGAGTGAGCCTGACAACTCTGGGCAATTCTGCCTCATCCGATGAACACACCAGTCAAGAAATCATCCTCTGATGTCATTTGTCCCTCTCCGAAATGAAGGACAAATAACTTTCCAAACCAAAATACCTCCTTCCGGGCCACTACCCCCCATATGTGTTGTCTCTCTTCACTAGAGGAAAGGGACTATATCTCTACAGTGCTAGGCGTGTAGTAAATGCACACTAAATATATCTTTCATGTATTCATTCATTCCTGGTTCCAAGTTTAATGATCTCTGTACTATACACTATGATGCCATCAAAGAAAGTTGTCTTTCAGTAATTTCTCTTTTCCCACTCACCTCCTAGCCTGACAATCTATATATAATCTGTGTAGGTGCATCTGTTTTGCGTCAGTGATGTCAAACTCAAATAGAAATGGGGCCCATAAACCATATATAGGTATACCTGTGGGTCACATATTGACTTAGAAAATCACATATTAGTATTATCTATGTTTTACTGCATGTTTATTTGTTAAGTATTTCCCAGTTGCACTGTAATCTGGTTCTGGCAGCACTCAGAAATGTTGTGGGCTGCAGCACATTTGAGATCTTTGTTCTATACTTAGACTTTTTTTTTTATTAATAGCCAACAGAGACAGACATTTTCCCTCTGCTGCTACCCCTCACCCCAGTAATCCTAAATAAACCCACGAAGGGGGAAAGAGTGATACCCAGAAAAAGAGGGATCATACCAAGCTTCTATTCAGTCTTCCTTTCATGAATGCTTAATACCTGTACCAAATTACTTGGAGCCTTGGTTCTGCTATTCAACCACTAATCTTGGGCTCCTTTGGTTATGTATTGTATGGGCAAGAAAAAAGAGAGTTTCCTACTGGTGAGAAAGCAGCACAGTACACAAGGAAAGCATGGTATTTAACTCTGGAGGACCTTCTTCTACCACAGACTACCTGTGTGTGTGGCTTGTAGTAATTGCCTTTAGCTCTCTGGGCAGCATTTTTCTCATCTGTACAATTAGGTTAAACCAGATCAATCCATCAACAAGCATTTATGATCTTGGTAAATTTTTATTGATTTACATTACCTTCATTTCCCAATGTTTCCCTTTCCTCTCCCCTCCCAAGCAGCCATCCCTGATAATAAAGAATAGGCCAGCAAAATTAACTAGCACACCCCAGAGCCTGATATTATGTGTAAAGCTCTGTACTCAAAGTCACCCAAGGCTGCAAAGATGGGGAAAAGGTGCCTTTTCAGATCTCTTCTAGGGGACCATCAGTCAATTTGGGTTGTTTTGTGGTTGTAGTCATTGTGTTTATTGTTTTCCCGGTTCTGCTGACTTCACTTTGCATCAGTTCATAGAAGTCTTCCCATGTTTCTCTGTATTCCTCATGGTCGTTACAGCACAGGAATATTCCATTACAACTAGGTACCAAAGCTTGTTTAGCCACTCACCAAACAGGCATCTATTTTATTTCCAGTTCTCCTCCTGCCATTTATTAAGCAGTTACTAAGTGCCTGGCACCAGGCAAAACAGCCCCTGCCCTTGGGGAGCTCAGGAGTGATAATATGCACACATGAGTGTGTATGTGAGGGTGTGTCTCGTGTTGTGTGCATGTGTGTATATGAGAGTGTGAGAATGTGTGTATTGTATTTATTAAGCACTTACTCTGAAAGTGCTGTGCTCTTATGAGAGAAGCACAATTGCAGTAGCTCAAAGGAAACTTGACATGAACAAATTTAGAGCCATCTCCACCCTGAATGTTCACGTGGACCATCTGTGTCTGACCTGTGGTAAGGCATTCCAAGTTCATATTGCTCTCACAGCCACAGCTGGACACACTGAAACCTGACTCTAATGTAGGGATGTCATGGCCATCTTTGAGAACAAAGGACAACAATCAACCAACCAGTGGTATTGTGGGAGCCTGGGAAGGGCAGCTCCCCAGTTCCCTCAGTTTCCTGGCCCACCACACTGCACTAACCATCAGCTTCATGGCACAGCGGGGCCCACCCCTGGCCCTTGAAGCAAACCCATCAAAGCAACAAGGACCCGCCCCACTAGTTGAGACTATTCTGACAATGCTCCACCTTTCTCCCCACGGTGAGTTAGGCAGGGCTACTTTTTGGAAGGTCCACAGGACAGAACTGAGGAAAAAACTGTTTAGATTCTACTTTCTGTATCATTTCCTATATTTCACAGCGGTGGTTTTGTGATAAACTGACCACACTACCCAAGAAGCCAAGAAAGGCAGACTAAGCACAGAACCTGTGTATCCAGTGAGGTTCACAGAAGGAATTCTCCACCAGAAGACACCACACAAGGGTGGGAGCCAGGGTCATGAGGTTGGACTTCTCCACCAGCTGTGTAGGCAGCAGAAGTGCCTGGGGTCGAACACGGGTCACTGGGGGAAACGGCAGTTTCCAGATACCTCAGGGGGCTG